CAACAAGAAAAGAAATTCAGGACTATTCTAGAAGGGAGAAGAAAAATCTAATGCTTTGTCATTGGAAGGAACTAACTGAACGTCCCAGCATTTACGAGTGTTTTAGCAAGGCAGACTTTGTCTCAGTGTATGTCATAGTCATGCCATGAGTCAGAGTGATTTCATTGATCTGCTCAGTTCCTCAGTCTCCTTTATGCCACCATTGATTAGCACCCGAGACTGCTGTGTAGGAGGCATAGCATGACAGTGGAGACGAATGTTCTTTTAAAGTGTAATTAAAAAATCCTACTTGAAGGATGCCTCTATGCCAAAAATTTCTGAGACTTTATACACAACTGTGCAGGGTGCTCAGCTTTGACTTAGTCCTACCATGCTCACCTGGGTGAGGAGAAAGTCACTTCCCAGGCCACAAACGCCTTCAGAATTTATGGTAGCACCTGGACTGGCACAGGTCTCTGGTGTCATTCCTTGAGAAGTCACTGAGAGGCTTGTGAGAAGGAATCTGGGCCATTTGGGGTTCTGTGGAATGTCCTGGCTACCTAAAAAGGTTTCCTGGGGGAAGAAATACCAAGTACACCCTACAGAAACAGACCAGTGCTTCAGAAAATGGCAGACTTGGTTTCACAACACACTGACACTGTGGAGTTCACTACTTATCTTGCAGTTCAATTTCCTCATTTATAAATTTAGAAGCATTTAGAATAATTAATTTAGTATAAGTATCATAAGGAATGAAAAGAAGCAGTATCTCCAAGAGACTTATCAGGATACAATGCAAAAAAAAAATTGCTTAATAAAATATCCTCTCCACTTCTCTGAGTTAACAGTAAGATGTGGGGAAGGAGTCAATGAATGGTCTCTATCAATGTGTGTGTTTGAAGGTAGAGTTAAGGCTACTGTCTTTGCTGGAACTCAGGGGAGAAATTGCCCAGGGAAAAATGGCATGTACCAAAATACAGCCCCCAAAAGGAAGCACGATTGTAGTTAAGAACACAAATGGTGTGCGCATTTGGGTAAGTTATTTAATGGTTTCCCTGTGGGTAAAGTAGAAATAACGATACCCTTGGAGTCTGCTAACCATCTGATTCCATGATCTTCTCATTTCCTCTATTCTCTGTGGCCTGGTCCCTTTTTTTTTTTTTTTTTTTAACAGAGGGCTCATGCAGCTCTGCTTATTCTACAGGAGTATTTTTCCCTCAATTGTTACAAATAAAGGATGGGGATGGGAGACTTAGGAGGACCCAACCCAATCAGCTCATCCTCCAGAGAGATGACTCAGTAAGGCAGTGCCTACAGAGGTCCTCACATGGCATGTGGAGTGCAAGGAGAGCTCAGTAATTTTAAAAGTCCAAATGAAGAACATTGTCTGGTGTCAGCTCTTCAGCGGATGACATTTTTTTCTGCAGTGCCTGTAATTTGGATAGGTGGTACCAAGCCAATAGGCAGTGCAGGAGAAATTTTATCAGCTTTTGGAGTGACAGCTCAAACCAAGAAAAGGATGGCAGTTCTATCTTTATATCCCTTTCATGCCAGAGACATTTCTGGATGAAGCATGTATTAAACAGGCTTCTCTGGAAAGGCTGAACAATTCTTGTACTGGAAATTTTCATGTCATGGTCACAGACTAGGTGGATTGAGACCCAGGAGACCCAGGGTTGCTTATTGTAACAACCCTGACTGGGAGATAGGACAGGCGAAATGCCATCTTAACACACCTCTCATGGGCTCCCTCTGAGCCTGCAGATCCACCCTCACAAATGGCTATCTGCTCAACCAGTCCTTAACAGGTTCTGCTTATTAAATATAGCTAAATGTTCTGGGCAAGGATCAGACCTCCTTTCTCTATTGAAAGTTGAAGCACTGGTTGGGAGAAAGTGTTCTAGTGATTGGCAGGCTGAGGCTTAATAAATAATAAACACACGAGGAGGACCTTTCCTATTGGGTATTAATCTCAACTATCAGTCAATATGTTGAAGATAGAATTTTTACCCATCTATGTTCTTCATATGTTATGAAATTATTATTTACCTTTGTCTCTTTTCTATGTAGATCTATAAGTCATTTTGATTTGTTTTGTCTTCATCCTAATTAAATTTTCTAAGACTTCCCCTTCATGGCAGAATCAATCTCTCTCTCCAGGAAGTTTCCTGGTTTGAGGTCAGCCAACAGTATAATTAATTCACCCCAGAGGTCCTGTGTACTTTTCACACATGCTGAAAGCTTCAGCAAGGTTTTTTTTTTTAAGATAGCAGTAAGGACACATGGTGGAACACCATTCTTCCCAAGCTATATGCCACATGGAAGAGTTGGTCACAGCATGGCCAGGCCTACAAGCCCTTGTCTTACACACACACACACACACACACACACACACAGCTTGCAACCAGAAAAGTATAATCCAGGTCTTCTTTCAAGAGGAGAAAGCAGTTAAAATGCACAGCTGGGTATGACAGAAAACACATAATTAGACAAATTGGATTTAAGAGTTACGTAAGGTCTCAGTGAGCCAGTGAATGAAAAGCTGAAAGAAACGTTGTGATTGCTGCTCCAGTCCCTGGGAAGAACAGATTATGTGGATATGTGTGTTTTGGGCAAATAAAAGGCAATTACTGGGCGTTATGGAGTGTGGTTGACATTTCAAGCGGGTTAAGCTGCAGAATGTCTGACAGGGCTGTGCTGGGGAATAAAATGTTGTCTAGCTCTAAAAGAAGGAAACGGTAAGAACAGCTGTGCTTCAAAGGAAGATCTTGAAAGTTCATTTTTAGAGTTGTATTTTGTAAAAAATAAAGGGCAGTTTAGAAGTATATTATGCAATTTAAATTATCTAATACATAATTGTTCTATAGGCGTATAAAAGTTTTAGAGAATTTTAAGTACCAAAGATAAATTATATATTACAATTTTCCCTCCAATAGCAGACTTTTCCAATCAAGGCAGGTAGTTCTAGAAAAAATAAGGGAGTCTACAATTTGAGAACTTTTTTTTTACTAAGAATTCTCAAACTAGCAACTAACTCTTTAAGATAACTCCTCCCATTGGATTTAGAAACTAAAACAAATTTAATACTTTTCTTATTTTCAAATAACATTATTTGCAAAGGCAGCTGAATAAAAAGTAGATATCCTTCTCTTTCAACAATCTCTCTGAGATAAACAAGACAAAAAAGTAATTGAGATAATGCTGTTTTCTTAAAGAAACTTGGATTAAATGACAAAAATATCTACTTGTCCTCAAGACATCAATGCTTATAGCATTTGAGGCCTGTTTCTCGGTGTGCAATTTAAATATATAGTCTTAGCATAAAAATAACTTCTTGTCTATCGATACTGCTTAACCATTAAGACTTCTATCTACAGTCTTGTATCTTGGTTTGATGGTTTACAATCTCTCAGGCAATCACTCGGGGGTTAAGAACATTTGCTCTGTAAGTGTGGGAATCTGATTCTGAATCTCTAGCACGTATTCTACATCAGGGCATGGCTCTATGTGTGTGGAACCTCAGGATTGGGGGTATGGAGATGGGTAGATGCTAAGAGCTCTCTTCCTTCCAAAGAATCTAGCTGAAATGGTGAGCTTCAGGTTTAGTGATAGACCATGTCTCAAAGCAGTAAGTCTAGAGCAACAGAGCAAGACACCTGGTCCACTCCTTCAGCCTCCAGGTCACAGGCACAAGATCCATTCTATCTGCACACTCAACAAGTGCACAACATGCAAAGATGTGGAACATCTCTAATCTGTTCAGCATTCTAAAACATCACAAATACAAAGGTCAGCAGGGAATTTGTTTCTTCAAACTTATTCTGATCTAGTAAGAGAGACAGCAGTGTATTAGAAAGTAAACAACTCTATCATGTATTTGGTGGTTGTATATTAATATTTATCATTTATTCTGACGATAAAAAAATCAGTTTGAAGATTTTTTTTTTTTTTTTTTTTTTACCACAGATAAGTCAATGAGTTCATTTGATATCTATTATTGCCAGGAAGTCTTATATGATACTTTAGTATTTTGAAATGATGATCAAATAACTCTGTTATTTGTTTTGAACATAGTCATTAGAAAAATATTCCTGCTTGTGAGAACCTGTCTTAGAATAACTTAAAAAAATTCCTGAGAATAAGTCAAATGAAGTCAAAACTTTTCTAATACAGAGTAGATTGTCATCTACTTTTAAATTCTTCCAACAGCTGCTTATCAGGTGACACAGTTACAAATGTTGAGCTTGGAGAAGATGCTGCCACCCTCCCGTGACAGGTGAAACACATTCTGGTAGGACATTTGCTACATTTGCTACATTTGCTACATTTGCCAGGACAGCAGTGACTGCAGCAACAGCAGAGGAGCGAGGAGCGGGCCTGGCCAACAGGCAAAGCCCAACACTCATCAAGTGAGCTCCTGCTCCTTGCCTCACACACTCTAAGAACCTTCAAAAAGTCAAAGGGGAATGCATAGTTAGCTTAATGTTCTTGGAATTAAATGAGAGGCCTTCATCCTCAAGTCAGAATCATAAGAAACCTGGCTCACAAACACATACGTTGTTGTCAGTGAAGAGTCACTGAATTAAGGTGCTTTATTATACTTTTCAGACCAGTGGCCATCAGTTCTCCCTGCCAGTGACAGTTCACACAGAGAATTTTCTTAAGTAGAGTACATTAACTTGGTCTGATTCCTAAGTCTGTGTTATTATGTCTTAATTTGGGATTCATTAAGACATAAAATGAACAGGAGAATGAAAGAAATAAAGGTTGGAGTAACAGCCATTAAGGATGTTAATCATCAGCTCAGTTTACATACTTCCCACCTGAGTTTCTACCAAACTGAATCGTTCCAGAAACTGGTGGATACTTTGTATTGTGTTAAGGGCAAAGAGGCTTTAGGTTTGAGCTTACAAAATCTTCCTACAAAGTTCAGTTCCTGGTTTATAAGACTACATTCAATGTTATCCCATCAGAAGGACTAGGAGGAAGAACGAAAGCACAGGAAGAACATAGAGACTTACCGTGTCATGTTGCCTGTTCTCTTTCCCTGATATTATGAGGAAGTAGTTCCAGGTCAACAGTGACAACAGCAACAGTGGCATCATGTAGAGCTCGAAGTTCCACACGGCGAAGAGAAAGAGCTGGAAGGGAGAAACAAAGAGAAAAAGACACGGGTCAGCTCCGAGTTTCCTTGAGTGTTCTCACATCCACACTCCACCTCAAAACCCACGAAACCAAATGCTTTGGAGAGCAGGAAGGTTTGTCTTGGAAAACAAAGCCCTAGGGACTTAATAAGCGGTTTGCTAAAACCACAACTGGCCCCTAGAAAATCACCACTAAGACTGTTGCTTTGTTTAATTTCTGATATCAGTACATTGTCAAATGCAATTTTAATTTTCCTCTTCTAGTGAAACTATTGTTAGATTAGACAAAAGAGTGTTGGCTTTTTTTTTTTTTTTTCTTAAAGGCAGCTAAATGAGCTTCACTGTGTTGTCAGAATAGCCTGGTCTGTCTGTCTTAATCACAAAGAATGGATCACCATTTAACATTAGGGATATTCTTTTCACAAAGCTCACTTGGATAATACAATAGAACAAGTAAAATAGGCAGATGAAAATACCATATCTGTACCATGGAGCCCCAAGCACTCATATTATAAAAAAATGTGCTGCTTCCAGTAAGCGTTAAAAGAGGTTGGCCTACCATTCCATATTACACAGAAAGTCAAACACTTGTAAATGAACGTGAAAAGCGAGTTTGTCAAAGAAAATTTTAACATGCCTGCTCGTATTAGTTTTTAACACCACCTATTTGAACAAACTATTTTTAATTGTAAGACAAATGTCAGAGTAAGAACTTGGGGTGACAGATGGAGCCATTCACATTGTAAAACTGCAGGAGTTGAGACAAAAGCTGTGACTCACCCACATCCTCACCAGCCTTATGCTCCTGGACAGATCATCTAAATTAGAGTCTATGACTCCTGCTATCAAACTACGGTCCCCTTGAATCATTCGGGATGAAGAGTAGGATTCCTCTCTGACCACGATGCTAAGGAGAAGTGTAACCTTTCCATATTGTGTTTTTAATTTCTTCCTCCATAAGATGGGGACAATGGAAGTATCACTTTAGAGTTGTGAGAACTGAGGAATTAACACAGTGCTTGGAATGTGGGCGAGTACACATGCTCACCATTACTTACTATATGCAACTGGTGCTCAGAAAATTATCTAATTATTGGCTGGAAATTAGAACATCATTTCTTACTAAGATTTAGTTGAGCAGTAGCATAAGTGGGGATTTCAGTCAACTGTTGAGGTTAACATGCACAGCTTGCATTTCACAGACCACGAATTAGGGGAAGGGTCATGTGACACTAATGCCAGCAGCAGGGCTACCTCAGGCCTTCCTAGTAAATATCAGTCAAGGGCCTGGGCCTCTCTAGCGGCAGAGAGAACGCCCACCTGTGAGCCACAGAGCTCAGGCTCTAGGCATTAAGAGGTGACTTTGCGTCTGTTCTCCTATCTACAAAAAGACACACAAATACTATCACCTCTAACATCCCTGGTCTAAAGCCTGAGACGACGCCATAGTACTGCTGTACCCGTTCTGTGGATGACCACAGGGAAACAGACGGTCCACTGCACACATGGACTCACAGTGCTTGAACAATGTGCCCCAGACCTGTGTCAGTACAGGGTGGACCAGATGCCACCAAGGACTGGGAGGCGGGCATGGATCCCCACCCCAGCTTTGGAGCAATGGCGCTTGTCAGCTGCTGGGAGAGGGAGGGACAGATTCCTCTAAGAGTTTAGCCCCTGGTGAGGCAGCCACAGTCCAGTGGAAGACCACACACAGGGAAGCAGACATTAGTCGTGGGGGTTTTGGCTTTTTCAGGGCACAAATTTGGGTGAGTCAGCAGATGGATCTGGGAAGATTGGGGGACAGAAGGTACATATAATCAAAACGCTGCATGACACTCCCAGAAAACTATCAAATTTTTAAAAATATTTTGATAATTGTGTATTTTACTAGATTTCTGGTATTCATAGCTCAAATGGACACCAATATGCACACATAATCATTTATTAACCCGAGAAATCCATTTTGATGATTATTACAAGGCAACAATAGATTTAACTTCCAGAATAAGAACTGTTCCAAATACTTCAGTGCATGAAACAGAAGATGGCTTTTATTTCCCACAGAAATGTAGGAAGATTTCTAGAAAAAAGTCTTACCGTTTATTTTCTGAAATTCATATAAGGTGTGCAAAGGTCAAATGACATATAATTGGTGTTTAGGATTATTAAATGTGCTTTTGCAGAGATAATTCTTCTTTCAAGAAATAAACAGATAAATTTGATAGGCAACAAATACATGTAAAGGGAAAATTAGTTTTGATTGGAGCCCATATAAATTCTTGATACAGTTATTGTAACATTCAGGCAGTTTCTAGAATGCAAGGTCCTTAAGAATGAACATTTTCTTTTATTCACTCTTTTACATCTGGAGCTTAGAACATGACGGGTGTAGTAAGTGCTCAGTGACTAAATTTTTTACTCCCAATTAAAGTAAGTGGCTCCAAGACCACTCCCAAATTATTAAGCAGTTTAATTATTTGTATTAATTACTGTAGAACAGCTGCCAGGAACTAGCTGACTTGAGGAAAATACGCCCACAATTATAACGCGGGATGCTTCTAGAATTTTCTGTCTCTGACAAATACTTGCTTTAGCACTTCTTGCAGAGAGTGCTCTCCCTCTGTCTTGCTGTCCTGTTGTGATGTTGTGTTGTGGAGCAATGGTCTCTTCCTTGGGACTGTCTTACACACCTGCAACTTCAGAGATCTTCATTCCCTTTAGTGTGTTCTGCCCTGATGGCTGGGACTCAGATGGTTCCACTGATAACTATGCTCTACTAGGATAATGCCAATCTGATGAGGAGACATGTTCTGCTCCATGTCTGATCACTGATGTTAGATGACTGTATTGCTTCAAGCTTCTTTCAATACCATGGCAGTCTTTCAACATTCCTAGTTGCATCAAGCGTTGGCAATAAGATGCACTTGGTGCATCTATTTAGCTGTTACCATCATTCTCTTTTCAGATCCAGATGAGCTCATCACTGGCTCTCTAGAAATACAGCACTCAAAACCAGTACAACACTTCCCATTCATTTAAAAGGTGTTCAAAGTGCCCATGTATACGACCACTGGAGCAGGGATCAGGGGAAGGCAGAGAAATGAGACATCAAAAAATATATACTGTATTTAGTTTAGAGATGCTTAAAGAAGGCTCCTGGAAAAACCCAAAGCCAAGCTGACACTGATTCTGTCCTTGGTCCTTTCATGGATTTGAGAATGGGAAAAGCAAAACAGATGGAAGAAGAAATTAAGGAATAAAAATACATCCCCAACACATACACAAAATATAAATCATAAGGTGTGGAGTGTGTCCTGATCTCACTCTAAAATTGCCTTTTCCTGAACAGAACAAAGAAAGAGGACCAGAAGATTCTGGAATGTTTCAATATTACATTAGGCAAAAAAATGAAGTTTATGCAGTATTTAATTTTATTCAATTCCATCACCTTGGAATACCTTCCCTATTCTTTCCCTCCATTACACAATCTGTAGCTTTTCCTCTTTGTCCTGGATCCTATTCCCAGTACCCACTTTTTAACTTGGGCTTTTGGCATTTCACATTCATAGAATACATGCTTCCATTTACACATGAGACACCTAACCCTACATTACCTATTCATGCACATTAGAAACTGAAAGTGTTTTAAGTATTTGATTTTCTTTTTTAAACTATAGGGTGGCTGTTGTGGGTTATAATTAAAATTCCATAGGAGAAAGTCTTAATGAGATATTAGTCAAAATGGTAACAGCACTTACAGCCTCCACTGGCAGAAAAGGATAGTAAATTCAGGCATTCTGGGTCACACCTATAATTATAGCATTTGGAAGGTGGAGGCAGGAGGATCAGTTCTTGAAGGTCATCCTCAAGCTACATATCAAGTTTGAAGCTAGCCTGAACTACATGAGAACCGTCACAAAAAAATTTGACAAACTGAGAAGTCTGTGCACTACCCTGCACGTTAGAAGTATGTTAGAAGCTCTCTTCCAACTGGCCTTGTATTGTCAGCTATCCTTACCATATGTCTTGAGGAGCTGTTGTAGTGAGAGGAAATGGAAAGAGCAAAGATGTTCACATTAGACTCGAGGCATCCAAGATTCCTTGCTACTAGCTCTATGGCCTTGGACAGCTATTGGATTTATTTTAGTTTTCTCCTTTGAAAAATAGAAATTCTACTATTTATTTTGCAGATTTGGAATGGAATTAGCCTAAGGTCTGGCATCTAAAGGTGCTTAGTAGGCAGACGGTATTGGCTCTTATTACATATCAATTTTTGGTCCTTCTTACAGCTTATCATCTCTCCTATGCCATCCCTAGTTTGTTACGGCTTCAACAGTAAGAGCTGTGACGAAGCCACGAAGTGGTGACATTATGGATAACCTTTTTAGTGATTTTACATTTAATTTGTGATGACGTGTGCTGTATTATGTGTAATCTGTTCATATCTCATGGAATTTCTTATGGTTCAGAACAGTAGCAAAACAGAAGCCTAAAAATTACATGACATCATCACCTTGATTGACTCAATTGAAAGTCAGACAACATGGAGAAGCAAAACTCCTCAGTGAACAGAAGCCAACGGAAGGTGCCTAAGTGAGGACAGCTGAGTACCAAAAAACGCCCAACTGGATCTGATCCAGAATGCCAACCTAAAGACTCATGCCTTCATAAGCTCTAGTTGTTTTATCTTTGGATTCTGAAGGCACGTATGAACAGCAAAAGCTAACTGATACGTAAGTCATGTCTCTCCAAGGAGACAATGTATTATGGTAAAATATTACCTCCACCAGAAGCCCGGAGAAGGGGCTTTAGCTCTGTTTCTCACGTGCTGGTATCAAAATGAATGTTGAGAAAGACCTGTTAGTTTATATTAGCCTGTTTCATATGATAGCTGTTGGGAGCAAACGCGGCAATGTTTTAAGACCGATTGCCAACTTTATACGATTCGGAATCCCCCAGGAGACAAGCCTCTGGGTGTGTCTATGGGTATCGCAGAG